AAGTTAAAACAAAAATTTTAAATTAATGTAAATTTTAAAAGAATCTTCATGCCTCCGTTACAGGTATGTGGTGATGAAATTAATGGCGAAGTGGACCTCCCCACCAGCGGACACTATTAAAATTAATAGTAAGATCACTAGAACAAACTTTGAAATGATGATCGTAGGAATTATTATTGAGAGTGTGGATATTCCCAACGGAGACATACGTCAAAGAATAGTTACCTTAGGATCAGGTAATGTTTTCACTTAGAACATAATAAAAGAACTCCTCTGGCCAAAAGGAATTTGATTATTAATTTTATTTGTCATGAATTGAGTTTCAGCTTATAAAAGTTAACGGATATTTGAAACACCCTTCTTTTACAAATGTTGAGCGAGCGTAGAGTCACCCAACGTGGCATATGCGAACTCTCGGTGTTATAAAATATCGGTGAATTTAAGCTAATTTTTTTTTAGGATACCAATATTAACAAGTTATATTCAATTGTTTAATCAGTAAAACTCATGATTCTCAGGCTATATTAAACATGTCTTTCAATCCGTTGTCTGTGATTATAAAAGAAAATAAACTTACTGGTCCTAATTACACTGATTGGAGAAGGAACTTAGACATAGTGTTGATAGCAGAGGAGTACAAATCCGTGCTCACTCAGGTCGGTCCAGATGTCCCAGATGGTAACGCCCCAGATCATGAGAAAGAGCGTATCAGAAGTGGATCAAGGCAAATGAGATGGCTCGTTGCTACATATTGGCCTCTATGACCAATGTACTGCAACACCAACATTAGACCACGGGATTTGCTTATGAGATGCTTATGACTCTCAAGGATCTTTTCGGCCTTCAGGCGAGGCAGCCCGAAAGCAGGCTATAAAAAATCTTTTGTCGACCTCCATGGCAGAGGGCACTCTCGTAAGGGATCATGTCCTTAGGCTAATGGAGCAATTTTACAAGAGGTCCTAAGAGGACAAATCGATGGGTAAACCCAGGTCGATATTATCCTCAATTCGCTGCCTGTTGAAAGTATTTTTACCGGAGTAGAATCTAAAGATTCGACACCGGGTCGTATCACGAGGAAGGTTAGCCGGATTATTTTATGCGGATATTCGATCACAAGAAACGAGAAAAGAATACCTAAACACTCTAATTCAAGATTGATGGCTTGATTTAACGACTACTAATAGTAAAGCAAGTGATTATGAAAGCAAAACAATCAATTCTAAACTTATCAATTAAAACACAAATTCCAATAGTTAAAAGGGACTAGGGTTTCGGGGACAATCGTATCCGGTTCTCAATACATTAAACGGGCAATCAATTACTCAGCTAATGAACAAACAATAACCAAGTCCTTTAGAAATTCATTCTCAATATCTCACGAAACAAGAGAATAAACATAAACGAGCAATTATCGAATTCATTAGCACATAGACAATACGTTTCCGAACAAGTCTATTCTAAACAAGCCGAGGTCGGTCGATTTCTCCCCTTTCGGTTCTAAAATCGATTAAGTAGATTAAATGATGATCAGACATTCAACCCTAGGTTTAGCCTAACTCATCTAGATCGAGCAATCAACATTCACATCAACGAAATTGAACCGGAACAATTATCCCCTAACCCTAGTTATCGAATTTAGCTACTCATAATTGATTCAACATCAACACATTAATCAACCCAAGCAAACATTATCATATCAAATAAGAAAAGAAGTGCTTACGATTAATTCGAATCCAATGTTGAACAAACACGAGCAATCCAAATCCAAACGAAAATTGGAGTTTTTAGGCTCCAAGATCAAATCCAAGATGAAAAGTAAGAAGTAAAATGTGTTCTAGGGTAAAAGCTGCTCAAAAACCAGGTCTGAATGACCAAAAAAACGCCCCCCAATCGATCTAGTACACTTCC